TTGCTTTAGGGTTAGGGTTAGGTTTAGGGTTAGGTTTAGGATGCTGAGTGCTTCGGAAGGCGCGGATTTGCCCTCTGCGGTTATGTCATCACGGTAGGGTCGCGGTTTTTCTTAGCGCTTCGAACGGCGCGGATTAGCCCTTCGTGCTTATGTCTCCGCGGATAAGGGCTTCGCGGATTTGTGGTGGAACCAGGTAACAGTGCTGTGTGACATCATGGTGGTGGAAATGTCTTTGGATACTGCTGGCTCAGTGGCCTTGAAATGGAGAGAAGCACCCCCCTATAGTCAACAATGACTAGCAAAATCCACAGGGACTCTTTCACCTTACCTTTTTAAATATATAGAGGAACCCATTAATTCTGCTTGTTCAAAGCTAGTTATGAAGTTCACAAATGGTGATCATACAAAACAGCTTTGCAACCAAGCCTCATATTTATGGCTGTTGCAGCATCCTATGGTCACATGATTCCCATTTTCAACCTTCAAAACTGCCTTTTAACAAGAATTAATAGGAGAGAGAGAGAGAGATTATAGATAATATTATATTATATTAGTTTATTGACTACTAAGACCAAGCTGCTAAACTTCATACTGGCTGGGGAATTATGGCAGTTGAAATCCACAGAGTTTAAATTTAGTAAGATTGTAAGGTAAAACACAATATCCTTGTAAATAACTTCACTCTGCTTCCAGCAACATCTGAAAAACCCTTCTTCGCACCTCATAGGGCACTTCCACATCATTAGCACTACTAACCCTCCATAGCTGTTTGAAGTTGATGCAAGAATGGCTCCCAGTCTTCAAATGCTGAGTACATGTAGAGATTTCCAGGAGCCAACTGTGTTCCTTTCAGCTGACTAACTTGCAAAAGTAATCAATGTCATACTCAAGGTCTGACAATAACTAAACATCGTCCCCTCTCTACCAAAAAAAAAAGTGAATTGCTAACGTCCTCATCCTTCTTAGTTATGAGAAGTTATGTGAGGGAAGATCATACATAAACTGTTGACTATCTTATATTTCCTTCCCTGAACTTAGAAATCTCCAAAATGAAGTCTCCAAAATGAGGAATCATTTAATGGAGATAGTTTTACTAATCTTTCTTAAATGGTGTATCTGAGGAGCCCATGACATACCAATGGGATTAGCCTGCTCCACTCACTCAAACAGAAGGGGCCTGCTATGGATCCTGTTCGGCAAAGGAATTCTGGCTAGCAAAATCAAGAGTAGAGTATTTTCTGCTGTGGTACAAGCCCTGTGGAATATTCTACCACCAGGACCGAGAACTGCTCCCATCATTTTGGTTTTCCACAACAGTATCAAAACTTGGGTTTGCCAATTGGCTTGGGGCCCAAAGCGTGGAAATGGTTGATGGTTTATATATAGTACTGTAAGTGTAATTTTAATTGATTAAATATTTATCTTTTTAAAATACTGTTTGTAAATAATCTAGAATCATCTTATTGATGAGAAGGGCAGCATATACATTTAATAAAGAAATAATTGAGTTTTGGGTTTGTCTGTCAATTAATTTTTTTAAAATATTTTCACCTTTTCTTGAAAAACTGATCCAAGAAGCATGTGCTTATGCATGAAAGTATATATGTACATTAATACAATGGCCAATTAACAGTATTGTACAAACATCTATAAACTTTACACACTGGTTTCCTGCAAGTTTGATGTGGAGAAAGTAATTACAGTATATGACTGCCTAAATGTTGTAATTGCACACTATGCATCTTCATTTATGGGGTTCTTTCTGTCAGCTAGTGTCCACTAATAACTAAATGAAACCTTTTAAAATTAATCACATTGAACTGGCATAAACAAGGAAGTAATTATATATGATCCACTAAAAGGCCAAGGGTCAAATTCAATAATTTGCAGGATTCAAAATGTGATCTAGCACTCTCAACTTCAGATGTGCTATCATACTGGCAAAATGTCTATGGAGATTCTCAGTCATCCAGATCATGGTTGTCCCAAAGGTGCTTTTTTCAAGAGGCAGCTGGACTTTCTGGTTTTTCTTTGAAGACATTTCACTTCTCATCCAAGAAGCAAAACGTATTCAAAGAAAATCAGAAAGTTTAGTTGCCTTTTGAAAAAACACCTTCAAGACGACATACTGACTGCCGAACATGAATTTCAGAATGGATTATATTTCCTTACGTTCCGTTACTTCTGTGGAAAGAGCAAAAGTATCTGTCAGAACGTCCAGTTGCCTCTTGAAAAAGCACCTTTGGGTCTATTTGTCATAAGGGCTGCATACATCCATTTATGTTCATACAACTAAAAATAATTTGTAAGAAAGTTAAGTAATACTTAGTACTTCATTGCTTGAGATAAATGCATGTAGTCCTTGCTTACCAACTATCTTGTTTAATGACTGTCTGAAATAATGATAGAAAATAAAATCTTTGCAGCTTATCCTTGTGGCCATCACAGCATTCCATTATCATGTGATCACCATTTGCAATCTTCACAACCAACTTTCAACAGCGGAATTTAGTTATTATTTTGCCACCCATTTTTCCTATAAAGTGACTGGATGACAAATTAATGGAGAACACAAAAGTCAAAAATGGTAGTCACGTCTTGATTAACAACTGTAGTGATTCATTTAACAGAAAAAAACACAACTTACCTGGTCCACAGACACAGGTAAGTCTTTTATCTTTATTTCAAAGGTTTTCAAACAGAACTCTAATGGCACAAAGTTTGAACAAACAAGAAGGCAGTTAAGGAGTTAAGAACACAATGAGATAAACAAAGTTGTCACCAATGATTTGTGAGGCACACAGCTCTCCTTATATAGGGGAGATGTGACCCTGATTTGTTCCTTTTTATGGGGCAGAATTATTTCTGGCCAATAGTCTTGCTATACACCTTTGTTCAGCCCTCTTCTCAGTGGGACCTTGCATTGGGGAAAATATTAGCTCCACCTCTTGGTCTTCTGAGCCCAGCAATAGCTGCCTCTCCTGGTTGCTAGGCAACTTTTCCAGCTGAATCTCCTCTGGCTGATGATCCTCTTCATCTTCTGAATCTTGAGATAGGCATGACAATGTTAGAAAGAAATCTTACCTGGTTCAATCCCAAACTGGAAATAAAGAATGCAGGCAGTTACTTGAATCAGAGATTAAGTTTACACAATACGCAATCAGCTATTGGAGGCAGGTGTGGTGAGTTGTCTCCCATAAGCCCTTTATATAGGATTACGATGACCTATAAACCCATGACCTATAAACCCATGAGCCGTTTGGTCATCCTTTTAAATATATTTCTTATTCCAAACTCACCACTGTGCTACTGCCATCAGCTGCAGTCATGTGATCCCTACTGACTCTCCCTGCAAGCTTCTTAGGTTTCCTCATTGACTTTTGGGAAGGTATCAGGGAATGTTGTAAATGAATATCATGTGACCATGGCAGCACATTGTTGACACTGAAATGACAAGAACTTTCCAGACTTTCTTTCCTATAGGTGTAATGGGTCTCAGCATTCAGTACGTTAGCTCATTTGAAGTACCTTAGTTGGAAATGTTTTGCTCCATTCCATCCAGTTAAACATTGTACAAATACTAGAGTTTTAGTAGTATATAGACAACCTGCCTTTATTCCTCAAAAGTATGCAAAAGCACACTCTAGGAATTCCACGAGAGTGCACTTAGTTGGCATTCTCAGAGGTGGCACTCTGCAGTCAGGCATCCTGCTGAATTGTGGTTTCAGCATTTGTCAATTGAAAACTAATCACTTTGAGGAAAGACCTTTTTTCTTATTTGATCAAAGAGATCTCAGATTAAGATCAGTCAGAGAGGAATGTTCACCTGATTACATTGGTATTTCCTGTTGCATTTTTAAATCTTTGTCTAGACTTATTCTAATTTGTGATTTTAAATCTTCTCCTGTTTGAGGCAGGAAGACTATGTGGTGGGAGGACTTGACTTCCTTCCCACATCAGCCGCTGACTTCCTTTCAGCCTATTATCCATTTCCAGGCAGCCAAACCTTTGCAACAGCTCACTTGTACTTGTTGGTAGCAATAGTTTGTTACCTGCTACTGACTCATTCCCTTGGCTCTTTGGCATATCTGAATACAACATTGACTTTTGTTTTTTAATAATGTTATTATAACGGAGTATGCACATGGATGGGATATGACCTCGAGTCTTGCATTTCCTATTTCCAAACCTTCATACAATCCTGCTGTTCCCTTTCTGCAATTCCTGAGGAGAACTGGCTAAATAAACTTCTACCCAATCACTTTACTTCAAATAAATAATCACTTTCACTTTATTAGGGAAAAGGTAAGTGCCCCCCCCTTCTTTTAACAGCCTAACCAGCAGGAAGCACATACTACAGGCTAGATCCCTTTCCCAGTATGAACACCACTGGTTCATTAAGAATTTACATCTTAGTTATAAATAATACAGTCAGTCACTCAGAAGAAATTTGAAAATAAAACAAGGAATGATCAACTGCTATCTGATAAAGTTAATTTCACTTTTAGCTTAAGACAACCAGATTTTCAGATTGGTAAAGAGGGACACCTTTGACCAGGGGGGGTGCGGGGGGGGGCTTGATTAAAAATTTTATACGGAGCAACAAAAATTTTCATATAACACAAAAATAGTATTGTAATTTTTTTTTATTTCAACATAACTACAATTTACAAATATAAATTGTAACTGTTGCCAAACATCAAAATTTTGNGAGCTGTTATTTTTCTTCTTCATTGGTATTGTGACTAGTTAATAATATTGGTTCAAATGAGTGTTATCTCATTTACATTTCTTATCTCAGTGCTTTCATTTCTTTGATTCAATGTATTTTACTCCATTTCCAATATCTGCATAATGTTGCTAACTCCAACAAACAATAGCATGATGGGAATCTATGGATGGATATATTATAAAAATATTCTTGATAAATCTATGCATTAATAACAGCAAAATACATGTGTTTTCTATTTAGTTAAATGTCTCACGCTTTTTCATGGTTAACATCTCGAAGTCTCCTTCCACTGAGATCTCTGCACGCCTCTCGGTTTGTTGTCTTCTCAATTTGAGCACCAAGAGCTCGGAGCATAGATCCAAAACCTGAGAATTAAAATAGGTCAGTAACAGGAATGTATATGTAAGAAACATTGACTCTCCAAGAATCACAACACGATGCAACACAAAAATAAATCCTTTTATATGTTGTTACTCTGTTTTACCCAGATTCAGAAATCCTTCATTAGACAAAACCAAAGATACAAATGAAAGGTAAACTTTTAATCCCATTCCAGAGCTCCACTTCTGATAATTCCAAATGTTTCAGAATTGTGCACTAATTACTTGAAAATTATTGACAATGGGAAGTTATAATGGCAAGCTAAGCTAGCCAGTATATGATTGTCATCTTGTTTTCTTATTGTTACAGTATCTCAAACTACACATATTTTTTACTAAGACCTTTAGCATAAAAATATGGGCAATATATTTCCCTCTCCCCTTTTCATTTAACTTATTTTTCCCCCCAAACTGCATTGATGCATTGTATCTTCTACCCTTTATGTATTGTACAATATATCCTATATTGGCAATTCTGGATTGTTTCCAATTCTATAGCCATTAATTGGGGATCCACAATCTGAATCCACTACTATATTTTTCAGGACTGAGTGCATTATAATTAAAAGAAACAAATTCAATCTCAATCATGGAACTTCATTGGATAATTTGGAATCAGTCACTATCTTTCATCCAAGCCAATTTCACATAATTATTGATGTGGAAACATTGGAATTGTTTTATCTGTCATCTATAAGAAAGGCAAGGTAGTTATCTAACAAATAAACACACTATATTGTTTAGTATGCAAAAACAGCAGTGAACCAACCTCCTTTTCCACCACATAATCTTGGTTCCACATTATAAAGAGCTCCATCTTGTAGTATACTTTCAGAATTAATACATCGACCATTACACTTTATATAAAAGTGATCTTGAGGAAGCCCCTAAAAACAATTATTTTTTTAAAAGGAAAAGAGAATTATAATCAGATTAGAATATTTATTTCAAGATTTACTTAATCTATAGGAAACAGCAACTGCATTAATTTTAAACAGGTTATTCCAATAGCACATTGGTAAATCACTGAACAGTAGAATAAAGATTATTGTAAAAACCTAGTTCTTTACCTGTGTTGGACACCGTGAACAATACATCTGTACACAAAGCCATGCTTCACAAATCACAAAAAGATGGGCAAAAAAACCCACTCGAAACCGTCTTAGGTACAATCCATAAAAAGCAGTGTCCCATCAACAATGATCACTATGGCCACGGATCTAGAATATCTATTCATTTTCTAAGCAAATATATAAATACTTGGCTCAGGAAAAGTGATTTATATATCCGCTTCACCTGCGAAGGAGAAAACAAAACTCCCCCTCCCAAATTGCTTATTCTAAAGACGTCAATTATAAGAAACCGGACACACACTTCTTGTATAGTGGGGAGCCCACGCCACCCACTTCTTTCATTTTAACACTCATTATTTACCTGCGCTTGGCACCAGGAACGGAGAAAATCCCCAACCGACCAGCCTTCAGCCGGCAACGTCACACATTGCAGCTCCGAAGACAACGGATTCCTCACTAACACCACCATTTTCTGACTTCCTATAACGACACAAGCAAACTCCTTGCTTTTCGGCAAGACGCAAGAAAGGAAAAACCCGGTGACGTCTACGAAGTAAACAGGAAGTCGGGCACTGGAAATTTTGCCAATAGAAGCGTTCCTTTCCAGGGTCTCAAGCCACGTGACAGGGAGCGTTAGGGATGCGCGCGCATGCGTAGGGACTTTCCGCGGACCCTGCCTGAAGGAGAGTAATAAAGATGGTGGGAGTTGGGAATGCTGACAGCGGGGCGGGGGCGAGTTAATGGCGCTGCTAGGCGTCTGGAGCTACCACTTTTCTTGCTTCACCGTTCCGCTTCAAGTTATTACCCTTCTGGGATCAGAACAGGATATTATCCGCCTGGTTTTTCTTGGCAGATTCGGTTCATCAACCTTCTCTGTTTACATTCTCGTTTCCCCTTTCTTTGCTCTACAACGCAGGGAAATTTCTTGGCATTGCTTTATGAGCCAGAAGGCGGGGAAGTCCCTCGGTGTTGTTATCGTCATTGACGTTTTGCTTCTTAAAAGTGACCAAACTCAGGCTGAATTGAAAATGAAACCCAGTGTACCAACATTTGGAATTTCCCCCCTGGTTTCAGGCGCGGAAAATTAGGGCACTTGTGATATTTATAAACCTGCAATGGAGCGCACTGTCCCTCCCTCCCCACCGCCCTTGCGCCCACATACTTCATTGTGTTGTGTTGGTTTGCAAACGCCATATTTTCTGCCCGTGTGAGCTTGGGAGCAGCCTCTCTCGGTCTCTTCAGGCGGTAGCACAGCGAATGTGGCGGCTCGTGTCGCTCTACCCGTTGCAACGGCGACAAGACGAATGGTTGTATTCGTCTCGGAGGCCATGCATATGGTCTGCTGACTCGAAGTTGTCGGCGTGTGTTAACTAACCGCCTTTCCTGGAGGCAGTTTAAACGCCAAGGCACGAAGAAGTAACCGAATCGAATTACACAGCGGCGCTCGCCAAGATGTGCCACCTTCATCCCCTCATTTTCCTGGTTGCAAATCCAGAACATGTAAAGCCTGGCCATTCGGGTTTTAAAACAATGAAGCAGGGCACTAATAGCGTGCAGTTTCACAGGACAGCGGAACAATATGCAGATAAAAGATTAACTTTCTAATGACTACTTTTGGTGAGGTGTGGCTGGGTGCTCTGTCTGCAGTTAAAAGTTGATCTTAAAATAATGAAGACTTGTTATATTGCTGAGCACTGTGTAGGAAGAAACAATAATGCACTTTTTCAAAACAACCAGTCTAGTTGCCAAATATTATAGGAAAGAGTCAAGTTGTAATGCTGAAAACATTTTAGAATTAATCCTTCCAAATCTAATCAAGAGTAAACAATAAACATGTCATATAAAATAAATGCTATGAGTATATACAATGAAAATCTCAACCTGCTATTAATCCCTCCAAATCTAATCAGGTAGCCCTGTGCTTATGACTAAAACTGGAACCAGAATTTCAGTTGCTAAGTAAGGAATTTAAGTGAGTCACACCTGATTTTAAGATTTTTTCGACAGNGTGTCTTCTTCCCCACTTGGAGCTGAACCCAGAAGGACATTTCTTTCATCAAAAGAATGACTTTTTCAAATACACAAGCTCCTGCTTGGGTTATGAGGGTCATCTTGCTATCTTGTTTTATTTTTGATGGCTTTCCATTCGTCCAATCTTTTCCAGTTTTTCTTAACTTCACATCATCTGTTCAAAATATAGTATGGTACCTAAATTGTAGGTTCATTGTTACAACTTACAGTTCAATTCTTCTTTCTCCTTGAATTTCTGAAGTCAACATTTGAATCTCTGTTTTCTGAGACTGCAACTGCATTTTCTGGAATTCATTCCAGTGTTACAGGTATTCTTCTCAGCTGTGTATGTCTGAAAAAGTTATTGGATGAGTCTAATTATATTTTAGTACAGTATGGAGGAAGCACCTATATCACAGAATCATAGGACTGGAAGAGATTATTTAGGCCACAAAGTCCAAGTTACTATTCAATGCAGGAGTGCATATTAAAGCATCAAAGCCTGCTGCCTGCCCAAGCTCAGCTTGTACACAGCCAGCAAAATAAAAAAATAAAAAACCAAACCACCTCCTTCCTAAATTCTAAACACCCTACTGCCTGGAAATTTTCCCCATCATTCAAACAAAATGTGCCTTTCTCTAACCCAAAATAATTATTTAAAATCCTGCTCTTGGATGATACTGATTAAATAGTGTCTGTCTGAAACTCTTTCGGTACCTGAGAAGCAGTGTCACATTCCCCCTTAGCCTTCTCTTTTCAGGAATAAACGTACTATGCCTCATTTTTCAGGAGCTCAAGCGCATATCCCTTGTGAGATTAGATAGGCCTAAAATTATGTTAATTATCTTACGTATCACTATACCACATTAACTCTACCTGTACATCCTCAGGTGAAAATAAGCTGTTTGAATTGAGTTTGTGCAAGAGCAGATTGCAACTATCCTTTCTGTGTTCAGCTTTTACATTCAGGCTCGGTTTTTTTTCTTTCTTTTATGTTTATGCCAGCATCACGTGGGATTGTTTTCCCTGCAGTACTAAATGCCTTCCCTTACAATCAGCTCTGTGCATCTGGAACCAGCAGCCGTTCCCGTTTCTAGCAGAGCTGAGAAACGAGACTGAGCTAGAATGGCTGACACCTCTGGTGTAGGTCAGAAATAGACAAGACTTTTCCCCTCAGTAATTCATAATTCAAGGCATGAGGCAGAAGAAGCTTCCAACAGCAATATGGAGACATTTCCATTCTCTGAAGTGGAGCTTCTGAGATAGAAAGGGGGTTTATTTGTTTTTTAATCATGCTTTGATTAGAATTACTGCTGAAATGTTTTAGCAGTTCTTTTCCATCTCCGGCAAACCCGGAATGTCGGGAAACTAGCGATTGCATTCAGCCTGTGCGCCACGATTTTTCAACGGGAATTCAAGGATAAACGGAGGCTGTATTACTTCCTCTGAGCCTGTCAGAGATCGTTTTTCCCCCTCTATTGAGGCAGACATCAACGTGCGCTGCAGAGGCTTCCAAGCGCCTGCGCTAAACTGCTGCCGAACGCTGGAGCAACTACGGAATGAGAAACTCCGCCCAGGGCGATGTCCTAATATGGAAAGTAACCCCTCGGGTGACGTCATGGGCTCGCTGTGCTCTAATGTGGGGCAGGTTTTTCTGCTGAATGGCTGGCTGCCTGGCAGTCGGGAAAGACTGTTGCAGGAGCTTTGGACAGCTTCGTTGCAGAGGTCAACCAAGGGGAGGAAATGAGGGGCCTGCAAATTGAAGAGATGTGGCTGCGGGAATCTCGAATAGAGGCACCCCCGCGAAGGCTGAAAAGCAGGGGAGGGGGGAAATCACATTCCCTGACAATAGAAGGAAGCTGGCAGATTGAGCTGTAGTGGGATGTCTTCCCACAGGAATTCTTCTATTTTTAAATCTCACTCCTTACTACGCTTTACTATGAATGCATCGAGCCAGCTAGGAAGCTTTAAGGCTACAGTTGTCCCAGCCTAAACAAAGTCTCGAAAAGCAAGAGACCAGGAGATTAAAGGGCACTGTCTTATAAACTGGATTCTTTCCATCACCAAGAGGAATATTAAATGCAAAGCGCCTAGGATTTAAAAGATCCTATTTTATTTTGATAGATTAAAGTTATGATTAGCTTCATATGGAGAGACTTATTCATAAAGGCTCCTATTTTTACAGACATTGATTTCCATCTACCTCTTTTCCCCAATAAATACACGCCTGATCAATTTGTAAAGAAGAAATAGATAATATTCAAGAATCCAGAAACAATAAATCTTGGTTTATGGTTAACTGCTTTCGTAGATCAGCATCTATATCAGCTGCAGAAAGCTTATGTTGTACACTAAAGTGGAGTCACAACTATATTGATTAAGAAGTGCCCTTATAACTTACAGGATTTGCTTCCTGATGTATTTAGGATCATAACCATTTACTTGGGAATAGTACTCTGGATTCAATGGAATTACTTCTAAGTAGTTTTGTGGAGGATTGTGCTGCTAGCCTTTATTGTAGAAAGTTAGCACCCACCCTCTCTTTGAAGAATGAAATATTTTAGGAAATATTAAAAAGGTAGAATATATATTTCTCCTAAAAGAGAAATGGAAATCTTAAGGGAGACAGGAACTCAGAGCCTCAGCTCCCTATCCCCAGCAGATATTTGGTGCCCGTTCAGAAGAACTGGGCCAAAACAAAAGACTTTTAACTCCAGGGTGATGGAATTAAGACATGACCCTCCAGGATATAATAGGATTATCTAGCAGCATTACAAAATCACCTGAGGGACATTGCATCAATCCAAAGTTCAACCAAATTTGATTTAGACAAACATGACTCCACATGGCCCCATGGGAGTCTGACTACAGCCAATGTAATACGTGCTTTTGCCACAGGAACAGGAAGCTCAAGGGCAAGGCCCAAGAGAGGGAATAAATAACCCTTACTCTCCACTCCATGTGGTCCGCTACAGAGGTAGGTTGCTGCCAGTTTTACTACTAGTTCGCTTCGCGCACACGAGCCAAACACGTGCTGCGCGCATGTGCCCAGTTCAATGTAAATTGTTCTTTGTGCATGCGCAGAACAATTTACAGTGATCTGCACATGCACTCACTAAAGAACGGGAGTGGCAACCAGGGAACTGGTTTGGGGATGTGGCCAGCCTGGCTCACTGCCGATTCTGCGACCCAGGCCTAAATGCCACTACTTGGTTGGCCGAACCTCTGGTCAGCTGCCGAGAATCACACATGCTTTCTGGTTCTGCTTCACCATTAAATCATCTTTCCAATCAGCCTCCATGTTTCCAGTGTCTTTCTCCCCACTTGGAACAGAACTAGATGGAGATTTCGTCCAACAGTGTCATAAGAGTTAAGATTCCACAGAATACTGAGCCACAAATTAGCCAAGTACATAGTAGCCTGCCTTGTTGTGTGAATCCAGCCTGTGTATAATTAGTTTATGAGTCAATGTGTTTCAAATCCAGAAAAGCAGATTTATTAACACTAAGTAAAGCTGCCTTGCAAACATCATCATGTTTTTGTTGCAACAGGATGATCAAAGTATCTTTCT